TATGTGTCCAGCTGGCTGGCTACGTCTCCACTTGTTTGAATACTTTGAGATGACATCGACTGGGTTTGTGGTATGTCCGTCAAATGAAATCCATAGTGCTTTGTGTAAATCCCTGTGTTTGTACACGCTGCCCGCTATCAAAAAATCATGCAAAGAGCAGAAGTCTGCGAATAATCCTCCGTTTTCATTCATTTCGCCGAACCAGAGGCTCTCAACCAATGATAAACTCTATTACTGTATTGTCTGCTCTCAGTCTGGCTTACATTCATATCAACCATAAGCATTTCGACGTCACCATTGGAGCTGTTGTCGATTACTGTTTGTAGTTGTCTGTAGAAATCGTCCTTCTCCTCTTACTTCCTCATTGTTTGTAGCATTATGTGTAGCGTTGGATAATTGTGATCCCCCTTCCTTTTGAGTTGAATCTTGGTGGCAGGATTCCGGATGAAATTGATTCCTACTGCATTAGGGATTTGACTGTCACTGGCTACATCGTGATGGCCGCTCACTGCCTCATTGCGCTTGCGGTTGTCATCTGGGTTACCAAAAATTCCACTTGAAAAATTTTCACAGTCCATATCCATTCCATCTGCTCTCACAGATACCCAGCACTTCTATGCCATATCTTCTCATTTCTTTGGCTGCCTGGGAAGCTTTTCCAGCCAGCCTCGTAAATGTGTGGGCGTTCCATGTTTTTGTAAGAACTCTTAGAGTAGACCTCTACTCTAAACACCCTTACAAACTTCTTCACCGCTTTACGACCTTAGCTGTACGCTACTCAACGTGCAAACACTGACGAACTGTATCGAAGTAAAAAGACTTGCTATGACAAGAGTATTTGGGAGAATTATATTTTATTCAAGGAAATATGAAATTCGATAAATGAAGAAGTCGTACAAATTATCTGCAGACGTTGCTGGAGGTAAGCTCGGAGAGTGTGCAGAATGAGAGCACAACAGAGAGCGTACCATCTGAACGTACGGAAGAGTCACAACTCAAAAGATAAAAGTGTATCACCATGGGTGAGCGAGTTTAAACAAAAGTTCAAAGGTACAATGTGCACTACATTTCATGCTTATTCATACTTTCATCGAAAGAAAACACATCGTCTGGCTGACCTGCTTCCCGAAGATTTTCACTAGCCCAACCTATGCCTCGTGATGAAACCCTCATAACAAGCAAACGAAATTCCTCGAAAACCAGTATTGAAATTCAGTCGGATGCTCATTAGCGACTTACTTTATTCAGACAGCGTTAGATTGTAGTGCGAAGACGTGACCAGTGAGGTGCAGAAGTTTGGAGGTGAGGCAATAACTTATCGAAGAAGACATTGAGAGGTGTCGCTCTATGTCATGAGTTAGCGGAAGTTAGAATTCATGGACTGGCCAATGGATCAGGTGCCAGTGGCTTGATGGTCTACGAGCTAGCTTGCATTGTGACCAGAAGGCCTCAGGTTTGAACCACGGTGTGTGCGTACCGGTGAAGAGTCCCAAGCTAGGAAGTAGGAAGCAGCTGTCCAGTTCTGCCAGGTTTTCCAGTTGTTCTCTAACTGATGTCAACTCAGGGTTAAATCCTCCAACCGAATAAATAAGTAATGCCCTAGGATCAACATAACGCCAGGTTTTCGGTGGATAGATTGCAAATAGTATGGGACAAATAATCCCTGAAGTCAACTACTCCACTTCACAAGGCGCTGCATCTTATTCTTGAATCGTTATCAAATTGTACGTTAATTCAAACACAGTTTCATATATGGTTTATTTTTGATAGTGGGTTTCCTCCAGTATTGATTTATCTTCTATGCAGACAGTCATCTTGTTGCTGAACCGAATGAAATGGTCACATATAATTCACTTAGCTGTGATACCAAAGCGATGTTTATTTGATTTGCTTCACTAAAATGTTGATAGTACAGCAAAGTCCGTCTTTGCCGCCATTTGTAGTGGCATAGTAATTTGAACAGTGGATGACGTAATGCATCAGGAAAGATGGTATTGGGAGTTCCTATGTCATAACGCATCATCGCAACTACTGGTTATACTCTCTCCTTTGTCAATTATCCACTGAACTCAACAGCTTTTTGACGTTTTGCATATTTTAGTTAGCTGAGGTCAATTTACGTCACTGATGTATGGCTACGTGTACATGATAGGTGTTTTAACACATTTAACAGGGTTGTAGTAATTACAATGTAACCTGCTCAGTTAAAAGCAGGAGATATTATATTCGTGTAGCACTTAGTTACAAACACTGTTTTTCTTCCTGATTTTACAGGTTCACCCTGGAGACGTATCAGTAGAATAATCCCGAAATAGTCCTAATTTTAAAATGATCTTTCGCAAATATAAACGAGTACCCAAAATACTCATGATTACCACTGAAATGTAACTGTTGGGTTTAGTTGCTGGCATAAGTTTAAGCGGAAGTTAGAAGTCATTAGGCTGTACAGTTAACAAGCGCGTGAAACTCACAATCACCGGGCAATTTTGCGTGTGGTGGCCTAAGATAGTAAGGTTTTTATTACACTTAGCGAAATATAATTGCAATTGTAATAGATCCTAATAATCACGTCAATTTGAAAAACCTAAGGACCAGTAACCTTAGGTTGATAATCACTAGTAAATGAGATGCATATCGCTATATTCCTAATTAACCTACAAGCAACACTCCTCTTTAGACGACTAGACAAACTGTTTTAAACTTTCATTCCTAGGAATGAGTATAACAGTAATTGACGCACATATGTTTTTTAAATTATGGATGCATAGAGATATGAGATAAGAACATGGAAAGCCTTGAAATGGGAAACTACTAACAAGCACGGGTGGGACTCGTAACACATTTTTTGAGACATATTTCGTTAGTGAAGTCTGAAAATGCAAATTCGAGGGAGTTGATATTCTTTGCGGAATGCGCTGCTTGATCGTGGTGTAAAAGGGGTGGCACATAGCATGTTGTTCGTAGTATTATATTCATGCTACCACCTTTCACTGTTTATCGGGACATCTAAAAGTAGTAATTGCGAACAAGAAACATCACAGTGTAGGTGCGATCCTGAAAATGTACATGTACATTCAGCCTCCATCCCGTCTGGAAGTTGTGAATTCTTTTCCGCTTCCAGTCTGCAGCAGCTTTATTGGCACAGAAGGGTGTCAGAAGCTTTATACAGGCTTTAGCAAAGTAGGCACTTCAGGAAATTGTGTAATACCTTGAAACCTGAGTCATATTATGTCTACAGAGTATCCACTAGCCCTCACGTTCATCGCATGTGAATGTGGTCGATCCAGCCTATTATACTCCACAAAGTAAGTTTCACTGGATCAAGTTTACGCAAATATCTATTCAACTGCCTGTGCCCACTGTCAGCCATGTTGCTTGTAATATTTGCCTTGCTGATAGTGAATCTACTGTACGGCACAACCAAATATCTTATTGTCCTGATCTACTAACTTCGTGTGTAGGCAGCAGCAGCTGCATCCATTAGAGATATAAAGGTTTACATAGAATCGAAAACTATTTGTATGTAAATTGTAAACTGACTCCATACAACTGCGTGTATGCGCCATTGTATATAACAGCTTCTTAAGACGCTAACTTTAAAACTAGTTTTGTTACGTTCACTATTGAGAATCAAAATTACCTCCCTCCTGACATACATGCAAAGGACATAAAACAACGCTACACGGAGAAAATTCTCCAGAGTATTCATCTGCGCTCTTGCACAGTAGACAGCAAACACTTTCATTTCAGATGTATCCCCCTTGAGTCTTTTAAATGGTTGCAAGATTTCATTGACAACTGCGAACCTTTCAAGACTAGTCAGTGTGAATGGAATAGTTATTCCCCTGCCAAATCGATGTATGTGAAGGTCAGCTGTAATTACTTCGAAGAGAAAAACACATTGCTGTACTTGATTTTACATATTTTATAATTGCAATTAATTCCAACTTCTTCGTGATAGAGCTTAACCAAGTCATGAGGGGAGAAAATAATTTTTGAGAGGACGTCTGAGTTATCGTACAGAACACTAACGTAACCTGTTTTCGTCACCCAATGAAATTCGTATAAACTACCAACTTCTATCCAGCTGTCACATTTATTTTGAAAAAACGTGTACTGACTAACTCTAGCCAGAATATTTTTATCATTTCATGTTGTTTTAATTATCCAATCCAACTTATGAATTGAAGTCCATACCCATAATCATTTTCAGACTACCGATACGCATCTGACTGCTTGTAAACAGCATGTTGTCATATCAGCTTGTAGTAGCAAAAAGAAAGGTTTTTTGTCGCTGGAATTCCACCTGTTTGAAAAAAACTATGTGGTATATTGTTGAGTGTTCAGAACTATGTATCGCTTAGATAGCATGTCGGCCTCGTCTTATTGCGGTACTAATCACATGTTGGTTGCAAGCATATATATTTCATCTCGGCTGAATTGGAATGTAGCAACTATAGGAGGAAAGGAATAATTGCAGAATGATAGTTCTCACCAGTTTGGTTCACTGTTCGCCACAGTTGTCACTGGCTACTAGGAGTTTCCACGGTTGCTTAAAGGGAAGCGCTGGTCATATTTAGTTGATTATTTGAGCTACTTTAAAGAATGCTTCTGAAACACATCAGTTGCTATTGTTCAAGTCCTGCTAGTCTTTGGAGGTGAACGTTTTTTGATAACCAGATTTAATTAACAGGTGTCGGAGCTAAACAAAATCGCATCTTCATTGTTTCTTGCTAGTATGTGGTCAATTATGCATTGGAAATGTTTCCTTTTTTACTTGTATTCTAGTGGTGGTCACTTAAAATAGGATATCGCGCAATTTTTCGAAGGAAATGGAGAAAAAGCAAAGCATATTATTGGATTGTCCTTTGGTTAAAAAATACTTCAAATAATATACTATTGTTGATTATTGATTCACCTGACAATTCTACACACGGAGTAAATAGATACTCTGCAATAGGACATGTCGAGAATGCTGTAATGTTTGTATTAACATATTTTTCAGAATAAAGTTATTAAAACTGTTATTTATTTGGTCATAATTAATAACAGCCATAACAGTAATAATAGGATCTTCATTTTTATCACATCAGTAACAAAAGAAGGATTTATTGAATATCTCATATGTCTAGAAAGTTTTATTACTTTTATCATTAGGTAGTCCATGTCGCTTCAACGTTATTGACCCGTTTAATTGGTGAATACATCTTTAACATAACTTTTATTAACAAAGTTTGATATATATATATATATATATATATATATATATAACACCGAATAAACTTTGTAAATGAATAAATAATCAGATTATTTAATATAATTCAAAGAAATACTAATGTATTATATTTCTGTGAAAGCCTAAAACGGTAGACAACAGGAAGACAGAGATTATCTTCAAATCAAATTGAAAAAAGATCCTACAAAGCCCATAAAATTTAAACAAAAGGTTCTGTCTGATCAAATATCCATTGTAAACAACGTTTTCGACTAGACGATAAGACTGATATCTCCTTCGATGACAATACCGATGTATCTTTCTCCTTGACAATATCATTTATTGTTAATGTGGAACTGACTTCTTGTAAAATACGATTACATAAAACGCGACGAACTGTTTTATGATAATTATTTAACCAATTCAATTCATCCTGACTCAATAGACTCTTGTTAATAAATTTATGCTGAAATGGTACCAGAGTGACTGGTTCAAATGTAAGCCATTTAACAGTATCATCTAATGGTGGTAAACGAAAAGAATGATCATTTACAGGGAGATGATTTTCGCTGTTGCCGGTGTTAACAGGAGAGGTAGTCGTGGCATCTAGCATACCACTAACGGGAACAGGGACAACAAATACAACATTTTCTAGACGTATACCAAAGTGATCAGTCCAGTAGAAACCTGGTTCAATGGTAACTACCTATTATATTGAAAAAAAACCATTTAAAGAAAATGAAAATTGAGGGAAACAAATAATAATTTAAACTGTTAGTACTTTGTAGGGATTTGATTGATTTCAAGATTGATTACGAATGAGTCAACTGCCCAGTAGTGACTGACTGTAGGAAAAAAATTGTTTGAAACTGTAGTAAGAAGTCGTGACCACCTGGGTTCACCAAGTTGAGTGTGTGTGTGTGTGTGTGGTTGGCGATTGTACTATTACATTGTGAAATGGCAGAAGCTGGAATTGATGGACTGCTGGATGTCGTCCCAGAGGCTGAATAGTCAACCTGTAGGTTTTTGGTTCAATCCTTGATGCGTACTACCGAAGAGTCTGAAACAAGAATGGAGCAGTCATCCAGTAGTACCTGCTTTTCAGTGGTTCTGTAACTCAAGTCAATTCGTGATCTTCCTTGAAATAATTTAAATATTCCAATCACAACAATTACAGAAAACAACTTAAGCAAATGCCTACTTCCAGTAATTCCCCATAAGGGTTTACAATTACACAATAAAATATTAACTATAGACATTTGAAACTAATGCAGTAAACAGAGTCAAAGTTCGGGCATATGAATTAGTGAATAGTAATCAACGTGATAACAATAATAACAAAAATAAGTTCATGTAAGTGTTAATATAATAATCTAGGTAGTCAATTATTGTGAAAGTTTAAGTAGAGTGATGAGTACGTTTGAAAGAGCAGACAGGAGAAATACCTAATATCTCATAGCGATTTGATAACAGAGCGTTTAGTTTTGTAATAAATTATGGAACTAAAATTAGCATATGCATTTATAACACAGTATGATGATGCTAATAAAGATAACACTACAAATATTTACAGTTATCCAGTTACATCGGGGAAGAAAACTATTCCAGCTTGTAGGGGGAGGGGTGGTGATGGCCATTATGAGTAGGAAAGGATCTGAACAAAGTTTTTCTGAACACAGTGATTTAAAAAAATGCTGCATGACAACCACCTCATTTATGCTTAGCAATCGAAGTGGTATATATCTAGTGAATCGAGGTGGCTTTTTTAATTCTACCAACCACACTGGTTTCGAATGCCCATGATTAATATCTTGCACATATATATATATATATATATATATATATATATATATATATATATATATAGAGAGAGAGAGAGAGAGAGAGAGGTAAGGACAGCGTTGAATCGCTATTCCCTGATAGCCTAACAGGCACTGACTTGCCACCAACTTCAGTCATTTCATTTGAGCTATTATTTAACTATAGTTAATTTTAGATCTTCTTGAATATTATTAACTGCAATTAATATGTACTCAAATATTAATAAGCAACATCATACCGAGAAAACATACTTAAGTCTAATTAAGTTCTAATTTAAATTCATGATTACGCGTATCAGCCTTTTGAAGTATTTCAGGGCTTCTGAGTGGTGTGTAGTTTCATTGAAATAGTAAGGTGTTTTGAGCACTTCATTGATTCAGAAAATCCAATCAGCCCTGAACGAATGATTACTGACGTAAAGTCACCATGAATACATACAGCTTATGTGATATTAGCCATAAACGTGATATCACTTAAAGGACATGTGTACTGGAGCAATATTTTGTTCCGTCCTTCTTTACATCTTTGGGACATGGCTATTGAAAGTAGAGGAACTGAAGATGTTAACTGTCTTTGACCATAGGTGTTTGCACGCCAAGCCATCGTCTTCCTTGACTAGCATTGTTGGGTGACATAAGATTAAAAAAGAAAAGGGTTAGGGGTGGTCAAATAAAAAACACATCAGTCTGTGAAGTCTTTGGCTGTTAGTTTCAGACAGGTAGGAAAGTGTAGACTGTCTAGCTGGGGTTTTGAAATGAGTCGATGAGAACAATCATCTTACTAAACAAAAACACATTGTACGCATATATTACAATTCCATTGTAGGTTGACTAATTTAATCGGTTGCATAAGTTAGAGCTTTATGGTCGCTCGGTCACATTATAATAAATTTTATACCTCACACACACACACCAATGGCTTAATTTATGCCGCCTGTCTGGATTCAACATAGAACTTGGCACCGAAGTGAGGGAGTTCGAGTTGTCACGTTCCAAATAGCACACAAAGGTAGACAAGAAGATGAGTGAAGAGAATCAATAGAGTTTGACAAGTATAAGAGTGAAACAGAATGGGTAATGGTAGAAAGGAATATGAAAGATTACAGAGACTGAATACATCTGCGCTGTCATTGACAACGACTTTGAGCCATGTCACCTATTGTCTGCAGCCATTGAATCCTAGAGTCCCGATGGCCCCAATCCGGAAGTCTGCATCTCCCTACCTGACTCAGTTTAACTGCCAAGGATTTCATGGATTGATGCTACGAAATGCCGTACTGATTAAAGCCAGTCTAATCGTCTTTTCAGCTGATTTTAGTAACTTCTTACCGGATAGTATTTACTCATTAACATATAATATATCAGTAGACTAAGCGATTACTGATGAGGTTATGTAATTTCCCTTACCAAACAGAATAAATAATTTCAATAACAATAAATAAAAAATATTTTATCTAATTACCATATTCTCATGTATGCCCGGTTCTACTATACCCATCCGTGAATACATATTCAATCGACTTCCAGATAATCCGATAGGACCTTCATGTACATTCAAAAAGGCACCAACACCATGTCCTGTACCATGAGCATAATTACCGCAGAATTGCCACATTACACCACGTGCTACAACATCAAGCCGTGAACCGGGTGTATTTGATGGAAAAATCTATTTGAAAGGAAAATTTTTTAGAATGAAAGTATTATATATTACCTATTCATTTTGTATGGATATTTATGAATTAAATATATTATTCAGTATTTATGACATTCATAGTTGTATCACTCATTGAGATGAAGTCATTGTTAAGATGTGTACTCACCTTGTAAGTATCTTTTGGGACATTCCCAAATATAGTGAATCTATAGAAGTTTTTGGTGGATCTATAACTCATTATACTCCAGGTACCCGATTTCGAATCATTACAACAAGATTCAGCTTTTCGACGCTAATGTCAACTCGATTCTACTATATGGTTCAGAGACTCAGCGGGTCATCAAGAAAATCTCCAACAGCCTACTGAAGACTTTCATCAACAGCTACCCACACTCCATACTGAAAACTAGATGACCAGGAAGAGTTTGTAACAATAAACTCTGTCAGTGAATCGACCAAGAAACTATCATCCAAAAAATATACCAAAGGTATCGGAAATGGATCGGACACACTCAGAAGAGATCATCGAGTGATATCGCACGCCAGGCCCTCGGGTGAAACGCCAATGGGAAATGACGAGTTAGGCATTTTTCTAATTACTTTCCTCTACTCACTCTGCAGTGTTTCAAGGTTTATTAACTTGAACTGATGCATTCTGTTTGCAAGGTTCTATACTGATCTGTGTGTATAAAATACTAAACAAGTCACAAATAGTTGAACATCTTGCGTATTTTTGTGATATTTTGTTTTGATTAGCCACTGCATTTTTTATTATTCAACTGTGAAGTTATTTAGCAACTGCTCAAACATTACAGAAGGCAATGCCTTAAACACTTAAAATCCTCATTTAACAGTTATCTAATAATGCCTTATACCACGCAATCCATAACGGAAAGCTCAGTGAAAACAGGAGTGAGACAAGGGCGTGTCTACTATTAATGGTGATCTTACTAAAAGCACAAGGACTCTATCATGTAGCGGACTGTTGGAAATGAAGGGACAGTCATATGCTGCAATGACAAAAAGACCCTAGGAAATCTCTAACAGTAGAACCTGGACACTATGTTAGTATATAATTCCATACTATATGAGTTTATTTGGTATAACACAAACTGATACGATATTAATAACTGGATGACGTTCCTAGCAAAATTTATTGCTCATAATCATATCAACGTGAGGAAGATATGAATATGATGTCATACACTGCATAAAATCAAAGAGATTTGGGCATAGTCAGAACTACATTTGAGCGTGGAAAAGACAGAGGTGATGAAGACACCAAACCATCAAAAATAAGCACCAGTCACAATCGGTGGAGAAATCTGAAGGAATTAGTCTTTTTTTCACTTACATAATGCACAGATAGGGGGTGTTAAAGTCAGGTAGGATCGGGAAAGTAAGACAGTCCTTCATTACTTTAGAATCGATGTGAAGATCCACACCACTCAACACAAGTCACGAGATACTTGTCTCAGTGTGTGTTCTCAAATAATTAGCTTGTCAGGGGACGGGAAAAAAACTATGAGTGTAAAAGTTTCGGTAGTCAAAAGTCGACATTTATGCATAAACGTGGCTATAAAGGTTGGTACATTTTCCCAACAAACTATCAAAGCAGTAACTGATGAACCATAAAAGTATACTTTAATGTTAGAATGATATTCAACTAAAAAAACTTCGAAGTCACATGATTCAGCAGAATTCTAAATTATGCACCTTTAAACACTATTTACAAATTTGTGCATTAGATAATGAGTCACACTTATTTGTATGTGGTAATTGATATTATCCACCCTGGGGTGGCAGTTCCTAAATATTAATTCAACGGTTGAAACTCGACTGCCTAGACTAGTGAGTAGCAGTCGTTACATCATGAAGCAAATATCACCCTAAGCTCAACAACACTTTTAGCTTTCAATACAGACATTAATAACACTCACTAATCAGTCACTGAGAGGTAAGCTATATCATAACACAGTCAATTGGTGTGAAGCCGTAAGTGTAAATTGCAAGCTGCTGACTCAAAAGACTGATACGTAAGTGAAGAATTATAGTTGTTCGAACCCTAGTGGGTGCGTACTGTCGATGATTCCCGAAACTAGGATGAAACAGCTGTCCAGTACTCCCTGGTTTTCAATGGTTCTCTAACTGATATCAATGCGTGGTCAAACTAGTAAAATATAGTTGTTTGATATTTTATTTCGATTAATACGGTGAGACTCGAATTACAAGGTATAGGCTATCAGTTAGGAATTAAAGTCTTTAATTCTCTCAAAGCCGGGATATAGTTCCCCTTCTACATTTACGTGAAAAATCTACAAGTAAATAGAAATACTGGTGAATGTATATCCTTACCACAGAAGTCTCATGATAAAGGATAAAGTATTTAACATCTTTTAAACCAAACCAATACGTCGGCGAATCAGTGGTAGAATGCTCAACAATTACGCAAGTGGTTCAGGTTCAATTCCTGGTCAATGCAATCCTAAGCCTCGCTTACGCGATAGAAAGCCAGGCAAAGGGGGAAGATTATTAATGGGGTTAGGAAGCCTGCTCCGCAAAAATACCACTGCTAATGAAACTCAAAAGCCTAAGATTGAAGCCCTATGTTCCACGCCAAGATAAGAAGCCAAACTACTACGTTAGGATCGTCTTGCAATTTAAATTTTATTCTTTTATAAAAGAAAAAGAGAAGCTTAAGCATAACTTACTTGCATAGCAAGTGAAATATGAGCTTTCAGTACAGTTGTATAACAATTCTTCTCTTCTGTAGTAGGTTCATTTAAATGAATTGTCCTCGTGACATCTGTTGTACCAGTTAGATACTGACCACCAGAATCAACAAGGTATACACTTGAACTGGTAATAGGCGCATCTTGACCTTCAACAGGATGATAATGTACAATAGCACCATTTGAATCTAATAGTTCAAAAAAGAAGGAAAAATTATGTCATAAGAAGAATGGTCTCAGTCTAACGGTCTTAAACTGAATCCTTCTAAATGTCAAACTGTTAATTTCAGCTTAAGATGCAAAAGACAGTTAAAAGAAGTCATCGATTCTCATGACACTTGTAAGATTGACGACAATGATATGGGAATCAAATCAGAAGTTAAGTATCTCGGGCTTATTCTCTCTTCTAATCTCTCCTGGTCTTCCCATGTCTTAGCGATCTCCAGTAAAATATTCCGCCTGACATTTTACGTTGAGAAGTTAAGGTACTCGGGTATACCTCAACCCCTCCTCTTACAGTTCATAAACTCTTGCATCCTACCTATTCTTCTTTATAGTTCACCCTTATTCTTTCCTGGTTTGCTTAAAAAGGACTATGTCACAATTCGTGGAATGCTGAAGACGGTCAGTAGGGTGAGTGGTGTCCTAGTGGACCACATAGTTAATGTTGTTATCGATAGGCACTTGACTTCGTGCAATAAATTTGCTAAAGGGATTTTGTCTGACTTGGAGCATCCACTTTACGCTCAGCTTTCACCTTGCATCTCCTCAGGTAGAACAAGAAGTAACTTAGAAAACTGTATGCTCGCACGTCTAAGTATAGAAATTCTATGATACGATACTTAGCACGTATTTCATGTGATGAAAATAGTGTCAGGCAAGAATTAACTAACCTTTTTTCATCTAGTAAATAAACGATTTCCTCCATCCATCCTTATATACCTTCAAGTTTTACTTTTATTATTTCTATTATATTTATGGTTCTGTTGCTTCTTTGTTTTACTATCATAATTGCAAGCACCAACTTATCTCCATGACGGCAGTAATCTTTGTTTCTCCCCTCACCATATCATGTAAACAGAACATTATATTCAATATTTTTAAACACGCTAGGATTTCGATACTTCATCGACAATACTGTGTGAAACAAGCCCACGGAATTTTTCACTTGTATTATTATTATTACCCTAGCGGTTATCATTATTATTTCCATTTTATGTGCTGCATGTTTCTGACATTAACCCTATTGTAAATGTGGAAGATTTTCTGTGTGATTAATTTTATTCATAATTTGAGGATATTAGATGCAATATTGTGATTAATGCTGAAAATTCCATTCTGTATCACAAGTACTGTTTTTGGAATAAAGTAAATTATTATTATTATTATATTATTTGGAAACACCTTAGAAACGAAAGTCAAAGCATAGAAATATCTATGCTATACTGTGTAATCGATATACTTTAGATCAGAGATCAACATCAGTGTATGAAAATAATAGTTATTCAATTATTGAACTCTTCCATATTTATTTTTTTAAATATCATAACACTTACCAGCACCAGATATTGTACTAAAGCTTAGACTGGTAAAATCTTTAGCTTGTGCTCTCAATGCATCTAAATATTGAGCAGCTGATGATTCAGTTAAAACACTCGGTGGCTTTATAACCGGTAGACCTGCACCATTCTCTGGATTCGGTTTAATTGGTTCACTATCACCTGAGTGTTTTTGACTACTATTTCTCCAGACGTTAGCCTCTTCTTCTAACCAGGCTAAATAGTCGCATAGAACTAGTGAATCAGTGATATGTATCTGTCGAATACCATCCAACTCTGATAATGCTTTAACTGCTTTCATTTCAGCTACAGGTGATAGATAAATAAAACGATGATTTTCTGGTACTCTAGACACAATTGCCTGACTAGCGACAAAATCAAGCCATACTCGAAAATATGGTTGACTGTCTATTGAGCGTTGAACAATTCCTTCGAGGTAATTAAAAAACTCAGAATACGGGTGAATATTTACCTAAAAAGTTATCAGGAAAAATAAATTGTTGTGTTACACGTTGGTCTGTTGATAAAATTAGCAATTTTTGTTTATTCCTTCTCTCAAATTACTTGAAGACACTAATGTGGGTTGAGTATGTTATGCAAAACATAATTTAAGACTTACTAGTATCGATTTGATTTTGTTATTCCAAGTCTTATAGTTCAAAATTAATGTTTATTTAGCTACGAAACACATGCTTCATTTTCTTACCAAAATGGATGTGTTGAGTAGTTGTAATTTACTTACCGTATATTATGGACTGGTTAATCATATGTATTAAAATAGTGAGATGGAGAATAAAATGAATTTGTAAGAAAAAATAGTAGCAGTTGTCTAGTCACCAAGTTTGGTTTATTCAATTGATCACTGATTTTTTTTCGCCATTCTGTTGCATTCCACGTACACAGTTACATCAGTGTACTCACAGAACATCCAGATTTCGCTGATCTATTTCTATTGTTTTTCACTCTACTTTTATTGATGTTTTCTATAATTCTGATATTGGTATTGCATTATTTCAACTGGATGAGTTAGGAGTAGATTCAATGGACTAACGTTCCCTGATCAACGTCTCATTATAGTTACTAAAGTGTCCCGATTCTGATGTTATATTTCCCAATCTACAGCATATCACGACACGCAATTTAAAAAGTTGTATCTCATGTTGTAGTTATAATGATAATAATTCTGTATCTTGGTACATCGGTGGTTTAGTGGTAGAACACTCGCCAATTACACAAGTGGTACATGTTCGATTCGTAGTGGACGTATTCCCAAATCTTCTGTAGTTTAGCAACCGATAGTAAACCCGGACGAGAAGGAAGATTAGGTGTGAAGCTAGTAACCCCACCCCGTAAAAGAGACCCTACCGCTATTGAAATTTAAGAGTTTGAAGCCATATATTCCACTAAAAACAATGAATAAGACATGATATCTTGTAAAAACATACTATCTTAACATGCCAACTGTCAGATATTTATAAAACAGGTTCTGGTGGTATAGATATGAATGTTCAAAGTGATTTAAATTGTATGGAGGATTTCATCATGAGCTGACATCAGTTAGAGAACCACTGGAAAACCTGGTAGTACTGGAAAGCTGTTTCGCCCTAGTTTTGAACTCTTCATCAGTATGCTCCCCCCGGGGTTCGAATTGATTGATTAGCCTAAGTAGATGTACGAATGACACTTATTCATCAAATTAACTGTTTCAGTCAGCATGATGTAATGAAATAGACTTCCACATCAATCAGTTATTTACTAGATCAAGACTGAAGTTTCATAAAGTCCAATTATTGCTTTTAAAATCGTCACTATATTGTTCAGAGTTATTATTAAATATTGTTAAGAAGGAGAATGACAACAACAATTGCACTTAAAAGTGCTTCCACCGCTTAACTGAAGATTATTATCAATGTTTACAATATTAAAAATATAAGTTTCTCGGTACAAATCTAAAAAGATAGTTATTAGAAAGAAATATATCGATTATTGACGCGAATTCATTGATTGCCTTTTCAATTCTCCATTACATGTCACAGTCCTACTTTACACTTTATACGTTGTTCACAGATTGTTTACATATATTTCATTCAATCTCTTTATTTGTATTTTGTATTTTTCTTTATTAAATAATAGTGTATAGGATCACTGTATAGTAAGGCTTACAGAAATATATACCACCATAAAATACTACAATAAATCAACTCCAGTGGACAAAATTATTAAGCCATTGAAATAGATTATACTGAGTTAAACAATGTTATTGACATATATTTTCAAGTGTTAGTTTATAGAGATTCGATTCATTCTAAGTTTGATTACGAAGTGACTTCAGTTAGAGAGCTATCGATAACCAGGTAGTACTGAACAGAGCTACCCATGACCTCACCAGGGATTAAACCTAGGATCTTCAGGCTACAAGACGAGGTCATTGACTATTCAGTCACTTGGATAGAATCCAATTAGATATATGTGAGCAGATAAAATCTTATTAAGCTTTTAGAAGGAACAAAAGAGGATTATAGATTATTATACTATTGATAAAAAAAATAGCCCATTAAGACATACAGAAGAAAAAAACTAATCAGATTAGGTGAATTGAACCAATCAGGTCTTTTGAATTCGACTAATACGTCTGACAATGAGTAACAAACAAACACTCTTTACTTCAATTAATGCAAGTTAACTAATGCTAAACATATTTAGTGATAACAACTTTAAAAAGTAGTGTTGAAATACACCAGTTTCAATCTCACAAACAAAAATTTAGGAAGAAACTCACAATTTGCAATTTACACAGTTCGAGGTGAAGTTTCTACTACAATTTACTTTGGAGACCACAATTATTCGAATCACAGTAGATGATCTGCTGGATACCATAAACGGTAATCAAGAAAGCAAACACCAATCCATGGTTCCATACACTACTTTTTGATTGATATCAGTAGTCGGATACTACTCGCATCAACCAACAGTGCTTGCTAACCCTATGGAAGTGACCTAAACACCAGATAGCCATTTCATTCGTTTTGGCGACGACCTAATCAGTGGTGTTCGGCTTGACTCAGGTCATATATTAGAATCCGTTCAAACCACCCGAAATCTGGCTACCTACTTAGGTAAACTTGTAGTACATTGAATCACTTCGATATAGTTAGTTAATACTACTAGTTGATTTGAATGGTATCGACTTACTCACGCCAAACAATCAGTAGTATACAGAACCATGAAAACTTCAGAAATATGGAATTTATGTGCAAACATCTCTTACAGAAATAAAAAACTATAGTTTAGCTATTAATGCCTTTGTGGTGGATAACTTAGTGATTACATTCCAAACTCCTGTTTAGTTGGCAAGCAGAATATAACGTTATTTTTATATTTTATGAGCTTCTAGCTATCAAAGAAATTCAAAATTAGCTTTGTATATAACAGAACTGTAGCACGTTAAATAACGAACTATTTTAGTACCTGACTCTTAATTTTATTGCAGTTATTTGTTAGGAAGGGAAAAGATATGACTCACTGTTTACGTGAAATGTAAATCAGTCGTTAACTCTTTCTAGATGTATCCTTTCAATTCTTCTAATCATTTTTAAATTTTGCAAACAATTTTTGTATTTATTTATGTGATTTCCCGCAATGATTACCAATGGTTAGAACTCATTTACTCGGAACAGAACCATAGTAATTGTGTGGAAACGGAAGATGTTACTGACTTTTATAGTCTCAAGCAGTTGGAGTGGGCTATGAACGTAGGAACCATTAGTTGAAAGCTGAGTGTCTAAGCCAATGAGCCACTTATAAACTGACTGGTACAGTCATTAGTAGATGAACTTATGTCTTCCCGTAGAAATGCTTTCATGATCTCTATCAGGTACGTCATATTCACTGCCTTCACATAGCGGATAGCGCTTTTATAAAAGTTACACAGTGAGTATGAATGCAAAATGTTTACTAAAACCAAAATGATGAAACATGGGCGGTTTACTAAACCAATAGTGTACATGGGATCCAAGATCTTAAGGGAAGAAATGATGCATAAATTTATTTCAGCCATAAGTAACTATGATGATGCAGGTCATAACTTCTTCCTGCCATCTTATGAACTTTATTTTAAGAATTCCGGTGAGTATTTCAGTCGTTAAAAAAAACTATGGAACAATAATTCAACGAAAGCCTGTTTCATCCCTCTTCTTTTAAAAATATTATTCGATTATTTCGTGTGACACATTCATTTGTATCTATACGCGAGCAAGTATACGCCAAACATAATAAAAATAATACGCAATAATTCCTCACAAGAACATACAATAAAATAAATCATAAATTGCTTACAACACACTGATCATCCTTCAAGTACTCTTCTAATCCTGACGTTTGATTAACAGTATTTGGATTTAAAAATAAGTCAACAGTATTCGTACCAATGATAGCATAAGCATAAAATACAGGATTATACAGTATATCATTTCCACGTAGATTAAATAACCAGGCAATTTCATCCAATGCAGATAGGATTAACATTTGTGTACCTTTCAGTTGCATTGTATGTCTAACACGACCTATTTTTTCTTTCCATGTTGAACCAGAAAATGATAATGGAATAAACATGAGAGGATTCGATGAACGCAATGGACGTTGAACATTTTCAATGTGTAATTCAGACATTGATTCCCAGACTAGATCAATTAAATTCGTATTAGGCAGATCAATTAATTGTCGACTTTGAGAAGTTTTATTCCCCATATTATCCGGCAAGATACCAATTTCAGCTTCAGCACTAATTAACTCTTTGCATAATGCTTGAATTCCTGTATAAGGTATTTGTCTGCCATCATAACCAATACATGAACCAGGCGGTGTAGATGATACAATCCACTTAGCTTTTGTAGGGGAATCAGATAAGTCATTTCTGAATAATATCCAATTTTCGTCTAATTCATTAGAAGCCTAAAATAAAAGGTAGATAACAGTGTTGTTGAACAGTTGGTAAAGTAAATAAATATACTATAATTTAATCAAACTGGGCATTTCAAATTTAATTTGACTATCATTCCTTCGGGTTTCCAATGGGGCATAAGGCTTTAACAACACCACTTCATTTCGCACTGTTCTCTACTGTCTTTTTTAGCTGGCTCCACAGTTGCTTATAAGTTTTTATTTCCTCTTTACACGATTCCCTTCATGTCACCCTCGAACTCACGCCAGTCAAACTTGTCGCTTCCTATTGTGGTTCCTTTGAGGGTCTGGGGTACGGTGTGAATGGAAATACTAAGGCTTTCATGGTTATCAACATTTATCAACCAAAAAACACCTGTCATCCAGAAGATTCCATAGAATATTGCTGCTCGCACAGCAAAACTTCTCTTAGCACAGGATAAAACAGTCTGCCTGACTGCAATGTAATCAATGACACTTAAATTCATCTTCAACGTGAATACAGTTTTACAGATCACATCTATATAATTATCTATAAACTACCTAACACAAAAATAAAATGTGTGAGTTCACCTAATGACTGTATATAAGTGTTCAATATCAAATGTAATTAGACGCTATAATTTCATTCAGAAGTCAATTGAATGTAAGGATGGAAATGGTGTTCAAAAATCACTTGCATCACCATACAGGTGGCAGTTGGCCATGTCAGTTGTGTGAGGGCTAATGATACTATCTCGCTAGACAGAACGGGTTTCGAATCCGTTATCCCAAGGTTCCAACGCCTAAGCCAAATTTTGGTTAACCCCATCAACTAGAGGAATGATTGAGTCTCAACGCCAAACTTTGGATAGACCGGTTTTAAACAGAAATCTAATTGCTCTTCTGCTTAGACACGTTATCCTTTGAGAGTATAACTGTTGCTTGCTACTATCTGATGTTCATTGGCGTATGCATAAAGTTCAGTTTGTCCTCAAGTTACTCGATTTCTTGACTAGAGCCCTATCGTTTAATAACCTGTTTGACTCTAAGTAAGTGATTTGACCTAGGTTCTTAACTCCAGAGTCATTAGAAAGTATTTGATGGATTACATAACTTTATTTCATTAAGGAAAAACACCCTCCAAGGCATTAAAGCCTGTTTCCATGATTTCTTAAGTTTGAACGCCACCGTAGTTTCGTCTCACTAGGAATCCTACGTAGCTTAAGATATCTCGTATGCTCATTTTATTCCAATTTTTCGTCCTCAGCTCACTTTTTTAATGAATTCTTACAAATGAATCATAGACGATAGTTATTCAGTAGTAGCGTTCCTGCTTTTATTTCTTCGTTTGGACCTAATTATGTAACACAAATATTTCTGGATCAGTACCTTAGATATCTGACCAAGTCTACCTTTACTGATATCAAACGAGACGTATTTATTTGAACCCAGTTCCTGAGACAGATGTTTCATGTTCCATGCCATGAGCCCCAATTATTGTGAGGGCAGATGGTACCACACAATTAGCCAGGCTGAAGTAACTGGATCAGGATTGGAATTTGGGACTCGCTAGCCGAAAATCAAGTGCTTAAACTAATGAACTACACCTTCAGAATAGGACATATCAATGGTACTACCATATTTGAGATGAATTATATATCCATTTGTAAAGGTGAAGTAACAGGTAGAACTAGTAATAAAAAAACCCACCTGTAACTGATATCGACCATCAGTCCATAAAGCAGCTTTGTCTAAGGTGATGACGATAGAACAAGAAGAACCCGTGAATCCAGAAATAAATGCGCAACGCTGATCTGCAGCAGCTACATACTCATTAAAGTGCTCATCTTCTGTTGGCACAATGTATGCCTGTAAATTTCTAGCTTTTAGTAAATCACGAAGACGTGTTAAGCGTCCTAAACTGTTTAGCGCTTTCATTTCGAAATCTATACAACGAAATGTAAAAGAAAAGAGTCTATCACTTGAAACAAATTAAATACAAGCGAAAAAATAGTACTGAACATTTAACTATTTAGACATTAATTACCTTATGATCAAAAAACCATTACAAAATTTCAGATCACTAGAGTAAACAAGAAAATCTGACTATTGCATATTAATTTCGTCAGACATGAAATTAGTGTTTATTTTGACAGATTAAAAGTCACTTTTAAATCAGTTTTGTACCTTTCACGAACACTAAAATTCAATAGATACTGAATTAATGCATTCAATTATTCTGTGACTGTTTAACAGTAATGAGAAATACGCCACTCACTGATTACATGCTTATACCTTAGACTTTATGGTGACGTAAGCACATCAATATTTAAAACCTCATTGTAACTAAGTTTTGTCGAGAAGCAAATTTGCTGAGAGCCAGTCTAAATATATCAATTTATTTTATTTTATTTACAATCTTGACCACCTGAATTAAATCGGAAATTACAGTGATTCGTAACTATCGACAGAAAATCACTCACTAGGTTCTCGGACCATAATTCCGCCGTCGGTGAACACACAGGTTTACTATTCATAAACTCTTCAAGAAGAGATTCTCAACAGTTAATTTATGTGCGTAGTTTTTTGTTTCCAAATACTACCATGGTAATTAAACAGATTATGACAGTCATAATATGCAGTATACCAGCTACGGTCACTGATACAGAGTGATATTACTCGTGAGTCAGTATAATTGCCAGAATACTAAATGAAATATTAGGAATTTATTTATGGTGAGTACTTCAGGAATTTATAAGACTGACACACAAAACTAACTAAAATGTCATTCTTTGCTGCTTACAGACGAATAAACAGTCATCGAAATAATGTGGATAACTGATAAAGCATAGCATTATTTTCCCCAGCCAGTTAACTATAATTTACTGGGACTGAAAATAAATGCAGTCAACTATACATTTCCCAACAAATAGCGGAGTGATGCAGGATAAATAAAATGGAACTTTTTGGACATAAATACCTACGAAAACCATGTACATATTAACTCATTTGGCAATGAACTGCACCTGTAGTGACGGCTGGTGATGAGGCCTGGCAGGTGCAACCTTAACAGGTAAAATGAGGGTTCAAATTAGTGACATACTGGACAAAAGCCAAATGTCTAATGTAATGGATCAAAGTCTAGAATAAATGAACTTTCAACATCTTACACCCTTTATCTAATAATCTTTTTTACTTCCTCTCTCACTTCGACTGGCTTAAAGAAAATGACAAATGATTATCAAATCTAATAGATTCTAGGGATTCAACAGGTAATGAGCATAAAATATATACCGATATTTATCGATGTTGTCTGTCTGACTCAATGTATGTTGTTGCTAAAACACATCCGAGTGCACAAATTTTGAATATTCGTGTTCAAGCAGTTGGGATCAACTATTGGCTTTCATAACATTATCCGACCACTAAATGGTTATTCATAAGTGAAACTGGCACCTCAGAAAGGGTACAGTAAGATTATAGTACGCACCAACATCTTTGACAGTGTCTGTCTGACAATCAATAGGTAATCGAAGTTTGACGAGATTGCCGAGTTTTTTAACTTGTCTTTGCAAACAAAATGAGAAATTTCTCGAGAGAAATGTAGATAATTAAAAAGCTACTAAACTAAAATCAAAGGTCAAGCTGATGACACTAATACCTGAATATTTGTTAATACTCGAATATCAACAGTAAAGGAATTATACTAATAATAGCATGACAAACTAGTACAATAATAAATCACTATAGATAAAACGGCGCCATAAAACCACTATCATAAATAAAAGACGTTGCTAGGTGACAAGCGGCGGAATATCTGAAAAACTGAATGGGTCAGTTGGCTATTTTTCTGAGGAAATAAGAAAAACTCAAGATACAAGTAGGGTAAACAGCCTTCGGGAGAGAAGGGTTACAATATGTATTAAACTTTTGCAAAAGGAACTTCGAGAACTACCGGCCAAAGAAACGAAAACACCTACTTATTTATTCTAAAACGCTATTCTCCCAGTTTATAAACTTTGTTAAGGAAAAAACAAACAGATGAATAGTTAAACGAGCATGCAAAAAAGTATATAAAAAGCAGTTATACAAATCTTACGCTGTCATTTATTTCTGACAAATAAGGAGTAATGTTTAGGATGATTTGTTACAAGATTTCATGATTTATGTAGCATCAGTATTCAGATCCTACAAAAATTTCAGGAATTTCCCCAAACCTTCCTAGAAAACAGTTCAAATCCTTTTCAAAGAGTTCATCGACTTATAGGCACATTCATATGTGGTAATGATTCGAAATTTCGCATACACATTTACCATAATGCGCTAGTGATACATATTACGAACAGAGTATAATGAGACGTCGCTAATACTATACACTTGGTACATTACAAACAATCTAAGAGTTATCACTACCTCAAAACACATTGTGTTATAACTGAGAAAATATTAACGAAGGGTAATCCAAAAGGAAAGTTGTTCGCTTGTAGAATATAATTCTTAAATGCCTGCGTCAATGGTCTGATGGTAGAATGCCGGCCGGTCCGGATTCAATTCACTGCTACTGTACTTCCAAACCCCCTTAGTTAATAAGCCAGAAGTGAGAAAAAGGTTGCGAGTGAGACTAGCAACATCACTGCTACTGGAACTTCGAAAGCTTGAAAGCTTATGTTTCACTAAGAACGCAAGAAGTGGAAAATATCATAGTAATAATAGTTGGGCAATGAGCAGCGACATCGCAAAATCCATATCTGTTTCATAACGAAAAATTTACCGTTTCCTTCGCACCAATAGAAACTTGGCTAATAAACAGCCAAAAACCAAAAACCTTGGACGGTTATCACCATGTAATCTAGTTACTTATTGAAAAACCTTAATATTTCAAATCTCATTAGCAAACAGTTCACAACAAAAGATGTCTCATCATTTGGTACTTGTACATACATACGCACGTGTCTATTGTGTTATGAAAAATTAATTCAAATCTGATTTAAGAGCAGTTTTATTATAAAACAAAATGTACGTAACAAATGCTGTACAAAAAATATTATGCAGTGGAAAGCAAGTTATACAAAACTCTAACAGTTAAATAATTCTGAGAAACTGTGATATATGAAAGAAGCAAAATGCATAGAACAAAACAGTTCTTGAATGAAGTCACCATAATTCACACCATGTGAGATGGCAGGCGTGTGGAATAATTTGCAGGAATTTTTACATATAATTGTTCTCTGGGGCTGTACACAGCATCCCGTCCTAAATAACCATATTCTATACTTAAATATGTTTTCAAATCATATGGTGCCAACAAGTCTACGTCTTCAAATTTACATTGTTTTAAAGGGAAAAATGAATTGTATGGAAACAACTTTCTCTTACAGTCATATATACCGGGTAAATTCCAATTTACTCTTAAGACTTCCAATCCTTTTTCTTCTTCTGATGAGTCTACATGAGATAAGGTGAACAAATCAACATGCGCCAAACAGGGATCAGAAAGAACATGTCTAGCAGTTCTTAAGTTCATTTTTAACAATTCACAAGCTTTCAGCAAACCATTACTAGTGAAGAAAAATTTTATTCGCTTACAGTCAACACCATCATACGGGAATTCTTCAATGCTTTCTACTACATTGTATTCTTTAGCTTTAAGCCACACACGTTTACTGATGCTCGCTGAAAAATCAATATACACATCAGAATCTGGATTCAGAAGAATAGAGTCATCCACGTTGCCTATTCCATAAATGCTTATACGGTTTTTAAGGCAATAATGCATTAGTATAGTGTATATACCAAAACCATTAGAATCGAATTCTAATATCCCTAAGTCAATATCTGTATCGTGGGGTATGAATTTACCGTTTTCACGGAATACGGAAAGAGCTGTACCACCATAAACGAATGGTTCTAGACCAGCATTTCTACACAAATTTAGAACGTGTTTTAATAGATGAAGTCTTAACGGTTTTAAGCATCGATTCTGGCGAATAATATGTTTGACATTTTTTAAGGAACATGTCCCGAACATGTTGAAACTTAGTAGTGATCCACATTTCGCAGCATCACGTCCTTCGTCAGTTATCGGTATTTCGTCATCAGACATATGAAAGAAAGGGAATTCACTTAAGTCTATGTCATTACTTGAATTAGGATGATCCATGACATTTGCACAGCCAGTAACCTGGAAAACAAATTAAGCGAACAGTAAGAAACTATCACGAGGGCAAGTAAAAAATAATCTTATGAAACATTTCAACAAGCAGAAAAGATGATATAAATATGCCATAATTTTCCACCTTTACTGCCCCAGAAGAGAAGGTTTTATATCATGATTTAAAACCATTATTCACATAATCAAGATATGAGAAAGAGCTGCCATTAACGTACAATACGCATTATTCATGTCTACTACATGTTCACTTCATTACCAACCAATGGATTAATGTAGCGGAAATAGGGAAATGGTGAGAATGTTTTTCTCAGGACATCGCGATTTTGTTGTATTAGTACAACAAAGCCAGCATGCTTTCCCAGAAATCCGGAGATGATTAGTATAGTAATTTTTTAGAAGACATCAAGCTATTCAAGTTTGTCCAAACCCCCTAAATTTCCCAGGAACTTTTAATTTTGAACAACACATTTAAGCGAACAATATTGTTTTCAATTAGATCTCATCAGACTTAACTCTAATATATATAAGTTTACAAATAAAAAGTCAAATATAAACCATTCATGGTGTTTTGTCAATAGGATAATAAGATGGTGAATATAAATTGTACAATTAGTCATAATAATAGTAATGATAATAATAATAATGGTCTTATCAAGAATAAGGATGAAAAAATCAGGCAATCTTTGATAACACGAATAATGAAAAACAGTATGATTAAACAAACAAATGTTCAGGTGGAAGTAGTCTATAAAGGCTAGTAAAAACAAACGAACCGATTGAGTAATGTTAGATTGTAAGGGAAATAAATGAAACACGTTTATAATGAAAATGTGATAAGATTAAGGGATGATAAGAAAGGGGTTGAAAATATAAACAAGGGGTGGTGTAGAAGTCATTAGTTGGTTATGTCTGAATAGGTCAAGGGAGGGATAATGGCTGTACGAACTTCTTTTGAATGCATAATTTAGGTTTAATAGTTCGAATACCTATCGCCTCAGCTGTATGCAGTAGACAAATACAAAGTCTACTGGAAAGATTCGGTGGGATACAATGAATTACTTTGACAGCTCTCGTTTTCTCCACTACATGACCACTACCAATTAAATGTGACAAAATTGAGCTACGGATTGTTTTTGTCTGTCCTTTGCCAAACCACGATGGGAGATGTTCACTAACACGTTGGCTGGCTAAGCTGTCTAGTAGTACGCGTAACGTAACTGTCACCCCACGTGCAGTTAAATTGATAAATGTATATAGATGTGGCAAAACTAACAAGCTTATCCTTCGTTTTCGTCCTAATCATTCGTCGGCTAGAGAATGACCAACATAGGTGTGCTGCGTAAAATGTTCTACGTATACTCCTTGAAAGTCTTTGGAATAGAATCTCACTAGATAAGTCCCCATCAAATTGTAACTTAATAAATAGAGGTTTCTTATGTGCAGTCCGAGTCACAGGTTTCTTCTCTGATGGTTTCATATGTTTCTTTATGAAACTACTCGGATAACCCACCTCCGTCAAGGAATAGTGAATATATTTAAATTCCTTTTGTAAGAGGTCCTCCGTACATATCTTCCTTGCTCTGCTCACGAGACATTTTACAAGATTCCTTTTATATTTAATGGGCACGTAACTAAGGAAGTGTGTGTACTGCCCTGTGATTGTGCTTTTTCTGCACACCCTTCTCCCAAGTGACCCATCTTCTCTCCTACTAAGCAAGACATCCAGAAAATGCAGTTTATTCTCCTGCTCCTCTTCACAAGTAAAGGTAAGCGAAGGGTGGATGTTGTTGAATTTAAGTAACAACTCGTCTGTTAACCTTCTCATCAGCTAAGATAAATGTATCATCGACATATCGGTAATATATATCCAACTCCTTGATGGTATCCCTCAATTTCCCGTTTTTAAGTTTTGCGAGAAAGAAGTCAGCTAATATTGGGCCTAATGGTGAACCCATAGCTATTCCATCTACTTGTCGATAGTATGAATTATTGAAGACAAAGTGAACATTCATTGTGCATTTAAGAAGTAATTCCTTGAGGCTCCACAAGGGGATTCCTAAGTCCAATCGCCTTTCGGTGATTTCTTGACAAATATAATCTACTGTTCCCATAAGCGGTACATTAGTGAACAGTGATGATACATCCATGGATAACAGGCGTTTACACCTCACATTAGTTTCGGATATTTTAGAAATAAAGTCGAAAACATCACTAATTCTATGTTGCACAATATCTCTGTGCAAAGGACCCAGGATCTTAACTAACCACTTCGCTGTTCCGTGAAATGGAGAGTTATACATATCTATAAACAGGGTGAAGAGGAAGACGTCTTCCGGGTACCCGGTTTGTGCACTTTTGGTAGACCGTAAAGACCTTCTCAGCTTATATATATTAGAGTTAATCCTGATGAGATCTAATTGAAAACAATATTGTTCGCTTAAATGTGTTGTTCTAAATTTTATTTTTAATTTTGGCGAACATTATCTACTCGAAGTCTGAACTGCTACACTCCTTTGTGACTATTTGCAAGCACTTGAACTAAGTAACTTCGAGGACTAAATAATTTTTTATAAATTTAATTAGTACCTGCATAACCAGCGTACTCTGAGGAAGCCGTTCCACCAACGTCGAGGATCGCCCTTGAGGTTGGACACCGCTCCATTATTAGATATCCAATATCCAATATCGTTTTTACGAGATAGTATAAACCAATTTGATTTCTTTGTGCTCGCTTTTTGATTGTAAGGTATAGGTTCCTGATCTTCGGTAAACTTCTGCCTAGCTCGTCCCGCCACTCGACTGTCATAGCTTTGGTTGACTCCAAGGGGAGTAGTACTGGGATTAATTATATGTGGTTTGTAGTATGAGGTATGTTAAGACTGTTACTACTGTGATTGGAGTTGATCCTTTCGCCAGTTAGTCCTTCGGTATCGTCGACAAGAGAAAAGAGATAGTAATAATAATAAGTAATAATAATAATAGATATAATTAGTGAAGTTATCCAGACTAAGAGACAGAAACGGAAATAGGAAAGCGTAACAACAGTCAGCTCATTAAGTTTGAAGAATAATATGTATATCGGTAATAATAATAATAATTATAATATTAATAAGTTGTCAGGAGAGTAAGACGGGAGAGAATGTAAAGAAGTAAAATGACGAGTTTAATTATCTACCCTGATTGGTATATGCGATTTTAAGGAGATAGGCCATTTGGATGCAGTCCTTGTATCGCTGCATGGTTGTCCAGCCTTCGCTTAAAGGCGTCCAAAGACGGTGCCATAGCTACATCTGCCGGTAAGGAATTCCAGGGACGGCAAACCCGCAGTGAAAAGAAATGGGAGTGCACCCGGGTCCTTGCCCTCTGGTGAGCTATCCTTCTGGGATTTCCACGTGGGAGCCTATACCTACTCAATGGCATAACACATTTGTTTGGTTGAATCTGGTCATTTGTTATTTTGTAGGCAGTAATCATATCCCCCCTAAGCCGACAGTAGCTAAGTGTGAACAGGCCTAATTTCTTCAGCCTTTCATTATATGGTTTGTTTCGGAGACCAACCACTCCTTTTGTTGCCCGTCGTTGGACTCTTTCCAAGAGGTTGGCGTCTCTCCTCAGCATTGGGGGTGCAATAATATTATGTGCCTCAAGGTGTGGCCTGACGTATGTTTTGTACAACATTAGAAAGAGCTCAGGAGTCAGTGCATCTAACTGTCTATGCGTAAAGTGTATGACCGCATATGCCCTCACTACATCCCCTGTGTAATTTACGCTTGTGTCCATTTTTCCGTTAGAACTAAACCTCAGTCGCGTTCCGACGTTGTGCAGGACAAGCTTTCATTGCACAGGGTGTAACTTGCATTCTGCAGTCTACAGGTGCGCAACTTCACTACTTTGCACTTTTTCAAGTTGAAAGTCATGCCACTGGCCACCGCCCAGTCTTCCAGAAGGTTTAGATCTTCCTGTAGCCTATCTGAGTCCTCCGAACACTTCATCGCCCTCCATATTTTTACGTCGTCAGCGTATAGGAGAGTTGGGCAGCTCAGACGGCGTGGTAGATCATTGATGAAAATCAAAAACATCAGTGGTCCTAGTGTGGTGAGAGCAGGCTGCTAGCCGATTGGTTGGCACTAATCTACGTTAAGGTCTAGGTCACTAATATGGGCCGTGAGAAAATATGAACAAGACTGAGTCAACAACCAATCACAGCAAAGTTAACGTGGCAAAATATGATTCGCAGATAGAGAACTCTATTTGTCAAGGAATCCCGAAACAACCAATCAGAAGCCTGCGTTTGTCTACCTAAAAACAACCAATCAGATGACTGCGCTTGTCTATAATAATGTAGTTGAAATATGTATAAATACGTGTTGATTTTCATAATAAAACGATCTGTTTCTTGGCCCTTGTCTTCTGTTGTTACACTAGGATAGAACCCTGCGACACTCCTGATGACGATCTGTGCCAAGATGATCGGACTCGGTTAACCTTAGTGCAAAATTGCCTGTCGGCTAGGTAGTCCTTCAGCCATGACAGAAGTGGCTCACCTATGCCTGCCTGGCTTATTTTACGTAGGAGAAGGTCATGGTGAACAGTCTCAAGTGCCTTCTCAAAGTCTAGGAAGACCACATGGACTGGTACATTCATGTCCCAGCATGATGTCAAGTCGTCCCAAGCTGACAGTAGGTTAGTGACGCAGGATCTGCCTTTTCTGAAACCATGTTGGGCTTCATGTAGAATATTAGTTCTATCGAAATATTCCCTGATGTGGTCGTCTATAATACTTTCCAATACTTTTGATACCACTGGGAGTAGAGCTACTGGTCTGTAACTAGTAGCGTTTTGCCTATCCCCACCTTTGAAGATTGGAGAAAGGATGGCTCTTTTTCACTCCCTTGGCTGTGTCCCCGAATCCATTGAGTGTTGGAACAAGTCGCACAGGGGTCTACAGAGAGCCTCGGTGCACTGTTTCAGAACAGATGGCCTGATGTCATCACAACCTGGGGACTTCCCAGGTATGAGTCGCTGTGGCTTCCTTAGTACTATTGAGGCGTTTTTTTGGGGAGTAGTCGCTAGGTCTTCCTCCTCAGAAATAGTGGTGCCACCATTTTGGTCCGTAACTGTAATATTCACATTTCTGTTTAGCTGTTTGGCGAAGGCTGAACTGAATGTTTCAGTCATCTCCAGACTATTGAGATATTGACCGTTTGGGCCTACTAAGGCGCATGCCCCTTGGTTTGTCGGTTTTCTTTCCGACATGAATCGGTACAAGGTTTTTAGGGTTTGATAGGAGTTTTTCAGCAAGGTTAGCCTGGAATGACCTCCTGTCCCTCCTGACTCTTGCATTACACCGGTTCCTGAGTTCGAGTTATGCATCATGGTCGGTCTGACTCTTAGATACACACCACGTAAACCAAGCCTTCCGCTTTGCTTGCAGAATACGTTGCGTGCCTCTATTCAACCATGACGTCTTTCTCTTTGGCTGTGTTGTGACTAAAGGGACAGTATCCGAGATTGCTATATGAATAATCTTTTTTACCACTTCCCAGTGTTCATCCACAGATAGGTCGTCCCATGCTAAGGGCCAGTCTGCGTCGGACGAGAGCCTCCGAATTTCAGCATAGTCAGCCCTGCTGTAGCAAAGACATGATCGCGTAACATCCCACTGCAAACGCTCACGGAGAACAAGATCGAAACCTATGACTGCATGGTCACTGCTTCCCAGAGGGGTCATGATCTGGACCTTTTCGACGAGTAGTTGGTCACTTGTTAGAATATAACCTGGTTTTGATGACTTTCCACTAGGGCCCCACCTAGTGTTGTCTTCAACATTCTCAGTCAGTCCCGTGTTTCGAATAGTTTGCAGTAGGTTTCGGCCAAATTTTCCCTTAGCACACCCCGAGCCGAGGTTCAGTGATGGAGCATTGAAATCTCCAGCTATGGTGATTTGGTCGTAGCCCAAACCTCGTATCCCTGTGATAGTGCTGAGCAGTAGCTGATTGTGCTGTGCCCCACAGGTGGGAGATCGGTAGATGCCACCCAGTAAGTGCTTGGTGTGGCCTACGGTGAAATGACACCATATGGAGTCTGGGAGTTCGATAAGTGGTGGGTCCGTTGCACGCACACATTTAAGTTGCCTATCAAAGTATATAGCAACTCCCCCTCCTTCCTTATTATCCCTGTCTCTTCTGACCAGTACCATATCACCAATATTGTGATTAATGCTGAAAATTCCATTCTGTATCACAAGTACTGTTTTTGGAATAAAGTAAATCATTATTATTATTATACTGATTTCATTGTCGGCGATAGTGGGGTTTAGCCACGTTTCAGTGAGAATGATTATTTTTAGTTGAAGGTGTGCTTGGAGATTTCGGAGTTCACTTACTTTTCCTCTCAGCCCCCTCACATTGCTATATAGGCAACTGACGGTGAGTCTAACAACCTCAGAGTGTTGTGGGGTAGTTGACGTGAAACCGTCTGCTGGTGGGGGACTTGATGTTGAAACTAGTTGGCCGATTCCGACAGAACCGGCCCATTGTAGTTTTTTTCAATGGATTTAGGCAGGACACTTGGGTGACACAGACCATTATTCTCAGAGCTGCATCGCTCTAGCTTCACCGAAGCTTGGGGTCGTATTAAAGCCTCAGTTTGCTGCCTCCTTATATTTCGGGGTCTGCTTTCACAGCATCGGATGTGTCCTCCAATTTTTCCCTTAGCCTCATACCACCGTTGAAGTGCTATGGACAACTGCTCCGGGGAGTTGAATGTGACACATAGCAGCTTTGGAGAGTTAATCAGTGTTAGATGAGCGGGACGAGGTAGTCGGAAAATGGAGATGGCTCCAGAAGCGCCAGGGGCCATCTGAGATGACAGCCATCTCCATTTCTGTACGTCGTGCATGTGTTTTTCACAAGCAGTGCCGGTTTCCAGCTCCGGAACACCGTGTACCATCATAGAGGTGGAAGGCATCAGTTCCGGTGACTCCCTCACCATATTTCTGATAGCCCATCGTCTATCTTGCCTCGCCCTTATGTTAGAACTTCTGTCCAGGGCTAGTACCTGAGCCATTAACAGTACTTTTTCAGCCTCTTCGGCAGAGTCCAGTGTAACCCGTAATGGGGGTGGCTTACCCTGAGGCGTGTGGACACCCCTGTACAGCCTGCACAATTTTGCTGAGCTAATGTTCAGACCTAGTTTGTTGCACAGGTTGGACCACTGTTCCTGATCAAACAGGGCCCGTTGTTCGAGCAAGCTATCCTTGCTCACAGGTACGTTAAAGAGGATGAGAGATTTAGACCGACTACCCTCAGACTTAGGTTTGGCCTTCGCCTTCTTTCAGTCCTTCTCATCATTAGCAACATTAGGCTTCATCGGTACCTGGACAGCCATTTTTGTGTTGCCAGGCTTGCTAGTGGATGCAAGTGGTGCCTTTGTAATTTTGCCCTCCCCTGTTGTGGATGGAACCTTGCTAATCTTCACCTTGTGAGAATTGGCATTTCCAGTCAGTAGGGCTGTTGTGTCCTTCTTTAAGTCTTTGACCAGTTTTGGCAGTGCGATTTTAGCAGGGGGGAGCTGCATGAGACTGTTTTGGGGCACAAGAGCGTGCTGTTTCTGCTATCCCCAGACACGCTTTGTGGGACTATGCCAGGGCGACAAAGTGGACACACGTACCAAAACCATGGGAATG